CCGCCTCTTGGGCCTGTAGAAAGACTGTGACCATTTCAATTTCATCCATTGGAGGCTTTACTCTGGCAGCTTGCTCACACCATTTGACAGCATATTCGCAGAAGCTTTCCGTGATTTTCTTTTTCAAATTGGACAAAGAGTTTCTGTCTGGAGCGATGTCCACATTATACTGGAACTGGCGAACAAAATCTCGGGCCATATCGTCCCACACGTGACAATGGGTAATTTCTTGATCTGTATACCACTCAGAAGCGATTCCGGTGAGGCTTTCCCCAAAATAGGCCATTAGCAGCTCCTCTTTTCCACCAGCACCCCTCAACTGGTTACAATATCATTTCAGATGAGCGACCCGATCTCCGTGCCCGTTGTACTTTTCAAATTTTGGCATCTTGAAGCACTGGCAAGTGGACATGGGGAAACATACAGATGCAGAGTATGAGACACTCTTCTGACCACTCAGACCTTGCATGTTTTTCAGGTTTTGTTCTAGGCCCTTCATCTTCCGAGCCATCTCCTCTTGCTCGGGATTTTTAACAACATTTTCTTGCTCCCCCGAGAGATCATATTGCGGAGGTTGAGTGAAAGAGTACGGGGTCACATATGCTATTTCTGACTGAAACTGTGGACCCTGAAAGATGAACATTGGAGGTGGTGCCTTTGAAGTCGATGCCTGAGGGCGAACCACAGAAGGCATGCCAGGATCATTGGAAGGTGCCCACATGGAATGCGTGGGTTTGGCACAGGGGCGTTGATAATCTCACTTAACCTGGGGATCAACTCAGGGAACCCAGGGATTGCACTTGGCGGTTCCCTACCATTAGACTAGGCATCCCACATTTCCAATATGCGGAGACGCAACACCTTATTCTCTTCAGCAGCTGCTGATTCTAGCTGTAGAATAGCCGATACTGGGCTATCCTCAGGACCGATGATTGGTAGATTGCTTGCGGAGGCCATCTGTGCCTTTGAATTTTGTGAAAGAGGGGAAGCTAGACTACCAACAAAACTAACCACCAAAACCTGACTAGTTTGCACATCCAACAACCTTGTTAGTTTTCAAACATTTAACATATAGGAAATCGCACGTTGGGATGCAATGCACCTAACAGTTAAACGCTTCTACCGTGTGTTTGAACGGTTGCATGTTTCATCCCGGTCTTAACTAACTCTCTTTTTCACTCAATATCTCTTTTCTTTTATTTTTGCTTCTTTTTAATCCCTCTTGATTTTTTTAATTTTGTTTCTGTCGCTCTTTTATTTTGGCACTCTTTTTTCCCTTTTTTTTCACTTAATTTTTCTTTCTCTTTTTTTTTCACTCAATTTTTCTTTCTCTTTTTTCAGTCTATTTTTCACTCAATTAATTTTATGGATATGATCGAATCCGATGGGGATTGCCTACGTATCATGACCCCGCATGAATCAGATGTTGCGTAGTTCGGAAAGATCGAGAATAGAGTAAATAAACTAACTCTTTTTTTTTTGGTTGGAATTTTTGAAAGAAATGCTTTAAAAAAAGAAAGAAAATATCTTTTTTTGATTTTTATTTTTTAAAGAAAGACTTCTAAAAAATTCATTTGCTTTTGATTTGAACTTTGAGAATTTTAAAAGTAAAAAGAAAATATTTTTGTTTGAATTTTCATTTGTTTTCTCTTTTTCTAAAAAAGAAGGAAAATATTTTTGCATTTTGGATGTTGCCTCTTAATTTTCGAAAGAGGGGCCTTTTAAGAAAATGTTTTGAATTTCTGAGTTTTTTTATTTATTCACAAAAGCACTTCTAAAGAAAAGCAAAATATTTCTGAACTTCAATTTTCAACTTTTTTTTTTGGAAAGAGAGACTTTTAAATAAGGAAAAGAATTTTTTTTCAATCCATTTTGTTTTGAGAAAAATACTTCAAAATAAAGGAAACCCGTATTTTGGATTTCGATTTTTTTATTTTATTGATTTTTTTTTTCATATGAAAGACTTTAGAAAGAAGGAAACTACTTTTTGAGTTTTTTTTAAGGAAAGTTTTCTAAAGAAGGAACTAATGGAATTTGTTTTTGGATTTTTTGAAATTGGGGTCGGAACCGATGAGGTTTGCCTACATATCTCACATCCGGTGAGAATCAGACCCGCGTAGTTCGGTCAAAACTGTGTACTTTTTCCTTTTGATTTTTATGAAAAATAATCTTTACACCTTACACCAGACTACTACAAAATATTTCTTTTAAAAGGGTTTATTTGCGCTAAACTAAAAGAATGACTATCTTTTTTTCTCTTTTTTATTAATTACACTAATTTTTAAAATCGGTCAACAATGCAAGTAAGCCTTCCAAATGATGTATCAAGTAGCACATAAGTGAATATGATGGTCTCAAAGAGGATACCTGTCTTATACGGACCCGGCCCCTGTGCCGAATTTTGCTAAGTCACATGCATGTGATGCACATAAAGCGAACCTACTAGGGACATCCAGCATGAGGTTTGTTCTTCTAGGTTTAAATCCTGGTGGAGAAGGTATCTAGACTGGCTTACTCGAGCGGACAACTCGAGCCGAGAAGGGTCAGTGTACCGGTAGCATTGCTTTCCGGCTTTAACTGATGGTGCTCCCCGCCTAAAACATGTGTGACTAAAATCCTTCACCGGGTGACAAGCACCTCGGCTATCTCAAAGAAAGCGGGCTATGTCGAGCAAATGCCTAATTTTTAATTTCAAGAAGACTTAGAGGGGTGCGTGAGAAGACAGTTTATATGTACAGTTCAACAATATTGAACCAGTAAAAAGCGAACAGGTAGCACATTAGGCACAAATAAATCACAATATATACAAAATTAATAAAGCCAAATAAAAGTCAACATGTACAAGCTCGAATTCTGGTTAGTCCCCAGCAGAATCGCTAGAGCTGTCACACCCCTTTTTTACCCCTCCAAAAGATATAGATATGTTATGGATTGTGGGTTAAAAAGCTTTCCAATTAAAGTGACAAATTTGAAATATGGATTATTTTATTTACAGGGTCGTCACTTGGAATTGATTTTTGCCGGTGTTCCAAGTCACCTCTTATTTAAATCCCTATTCAAAGGAAGGTTTGACTCTATTATTATTGGTCTACAAAAACAATGTCCGGGTAAGGGATTTTGTTGATCGGGGAGAAGGTGTAACGCATTTCCCGAGTCCCGTGGTTCTAGCATGGTCGCTTTATTGACTACATTTGGCTTGAATTAATTCTTTAATTGCTCATCTTAGAACCTATGTACATTTTTACTTTTTACTTGCTTGATTATTCGCAATTGAAGAATTGAGTTACGCGGACGTATACTCTTTTCCTTTGGCGCGTCAAAAATCATGTCACGCGAACGTGTCCACAATCAATAACGCTTTGTTCATTTTTTTAACAAAAAATTTGGTTGAAGTTGCCGCGAACGCATCCCTCGAGTTATTTTTAGAAATAAATTCGCAATTATGTTACGCGAACGTATACATAATCACAATACTAGTCTAAATCGAGCCTAAAGCAAACTACGATTATTCAAATACTTTCTACACTAATTGTTGTTAATGTGAGGACCATGGGTTATAGATTTTATTTATGGATAAATATTTTAACTATTATTATATTTGATAAGATCATCTACATTACAAATTATTAACGGGCTAAAAGGCATCTCAGACTTATTCAACAGTTACGAATTAAATGATAGGCTAATCAATTAATCAAATTCAAGCCCAATATAACTTGGTCCACTTAGTGGCTCAAATCAGCCTAAATCCAATACCCAATGAAAAGCACATGACCCACTTCAACTTTGAAAAACCAAACACTGATCTATTTGTTCTAAGAAATCAAATTAGTGGTAGGTTCCAATTTATCAAATAATTGGATTAAACTCCATAATATTTAATAATTATCTAAGTGAACAGCAGACTAACATGGATCAAACTTTAACTAAGACAAAGAAACAACTAAATCAAAGCAATCATAAGGAAATGAACAAAGAAATTAAAAAAAATCAACTAAAAGCATGAAATTTAAAAGAGAAAAAAGAATAAAACAAACATTAAAGATGAGGACAATAGGTGAAAAACAGGCCTTTCTTTAGCTTTCAATAACAACTTTGCATAAAGGAATCTGACATCGACAAACTTTGCAGAAAAGAAAACAAGAGCTAGGATCTACGTCCGGCGAACTCGAACGATGGCCTCGATAATCTCGACTCAAATGGGTTGATTTTCGATGATGTTTTATGTGAAAAAGGAAAATGCTTCAAGGTGTTTTTATGGTATTTTGGTGGGTTTAAGCGTGCATTTTGGGGCTGATTTTAGCAGCTTTTGAACCTGTTTTTGCAGCATGATTTTCGCTGCTTTTGAGCTGTTTCATAGTTGCTGGGGTTTGTGTTCTTGTGTGTGTGTGTTGGTCGTTTTTGATTAGGAAGAAACCATAGCAGAAGGCTGAAGAAGAAGAAGAAGAAGATAGGATAGGGGAGGTGGGGTATTTTTGTTGTCTCAGCTGAAGAAATGGCGGATCAGATGGGGTTTTCGGCGTAGGTCTATATTTAGGTGTTAAGTACTATTATATAGGGGTAGGAATTAGGTTATGGATATGAGCCTAGGAATTATGGGCTTGGTAATTATGGACTAGGTAAAAAAATTAGGCTTAACAATGGATTGTTCGAGCCCAAGTTTTATTCTTTTCCCGCGAACGAGATTAAAATACGATCTCATTTATTAATTTGTCCTACTTAAGTAAAATAACTGTTAAAATAAGACTGACCGTTAAAATAAAACTATTTTTTGGTATTTTTCAAGATTAAAAAAAATGACTACAAAATATTAATGAAACTATTTTTTTTGTAATTTTTATTTTCTTGTAATAAAAAAAAGTGAAAGAGTCAAAATTAGTTGAAATAGTTATATTAGGCCTAAATTAAATATTTACGTGCTAAAATATGAAAAATCTTGGGAGGGTCAAAAATCACATGTCTACCCTGCTCAAAAGTACTAATATTTTTTTGTTCTTCAGGTAATTAATATGGAGACTCAACTCAAACACTTCAAGAAGGTGAAGACTTGGTTGAGAAACAAAATAGGCAAATCAAAATCAGCCAAGATTTTGTCAAAAGCAGTCTATTTATTTAGCGTTGGAACGAATGACTACCTAAGTCTCTTTGTGACCAATTCCACAGTTGAAGACTCTCCTGAATACGTACAAATGGTCGTTGGCAACTTGACAGCCGTCGTTAAAGTAAGTTAAATTTGCAAATTTGTATTCATCTAGAGGTGGTAAATGAGCAGATCGGATGAAACTTGAACGAGTTAAACAATTCAAATTAATAAACAGGTCGTGATCCATTAATCTGTACAAAGTTTGTTTGAGTCAAAATGGATTGGATGATAATAGTCAAATAATAAGATCCAACCTTCCTTACTCTCTCCTGTCCACTTTAATTGATTTTTTGGTCTTTTTCTTGTGGTCCAAAATATTTATTTTTTTGGATATCAAGAAGGAAATTAACTTTTTTTTTTCAAAGTTGCCTTAGAGTAAAGAGTACTGTAGGAGTATTCATTGTATTTCCAATGAATAAATTAAGGTTAATATGATCAATTTCATTGTTAATTAATATTGAAAAGTGGATTTCTTAATATGTGTGAAAACAGTTAAAAAATTAATTAAAGTGAACCATAGTGAGTACTTTATTATTTTTCTTTTTTAAAAGAAAATGTGAAAGTTAATGTATTTTTAAAAGTTATTTGCTTTCAAATTGCATTGTATAATCCAGAATACATATGAAATTCCGCAGGAGATACACAAAATTGGAGGCAGGAAATTTGGGTTTCTTAATTTGGGAGACTTGGGTTGTCTACCTGGCCTAAGAATACTTAATCCATCTAGCAAAAATGGGTGCTTGGAAAAAGCTTCAAACTTGGCCAAACTCCATAATATTGAGCTGTCCAATATCCTCTCAAGAATGGAGAAAGAGCTGAAGGGGTTCAAGTATTCACTCTATGACTTCAATAGTAGTGTGAGGGAGAGGATGGATCATCCCTCCAAATATGGTATGCAATAAATCAAATCATTTATGTATTGATATCCACGTAATTTCTTCCCGTCTATCCAGGCCTTGATCAGTATTGTCAAAGGCTCATTTAAAGCGTGCTTAAGCCCTGGAGCTGAGAAAAGCTCCGGGAGGGCGCTACGCCTCGCTTAAGTTGCACTTCAGTGTAAGTGATCACGCCCAACTCTAGTTCTAAAAAGGATAAGCGGTCGCTGCAAATATAATCCGATCTAAAAGTCCGGAGTCGAATCCCACATAGAACTAAAGCTTAGCTATATCTGTTTAATATCACTAAAATGACAAGTTTGAACAATTTTCTAAATTATAAAGATTGAGATTTATATTTCTAACTAATTAACTAGCAAATACTAAAAAACGGTAAAATTATCAACTAACGAGACAAAGGGTTGGAGACTAAATTAAGGAGGTCTAGAGTTATGATTTCCCCAATTGTCGGAATCCTTCTAGCTATGTTCCTTACAATTTTGCCAATGTATTCTCTACTGATCGTGAGCACTTTAGGTGTCGTAATTCTCTCTCAAGCAACTACAATAATTTACTAGACATATTCTCTCGAACTACGCTAGTTGGCTTT